TGATGTCGTCACTGCAGTGCTGACCAGCCAGATGAAGTTGTCCGAGGTGGGTAGATCCGACATTCATGTGTGTCATCGACTGGGAGTTTCTAACCGCAGCCCTAGGCCGATACTCGTGCGGTTTTACAAGACGGAACACCGGCACCTTGTATGGGACAATAAGAAGTCACTTAAAGGCTCCGGGATCACTATTTCCGAATTCCTGACGCAAATGCGTCACCGTACCTTCACTGCCGCACGAAAATATTTTGGTATAACCAATTGCTGGTCAGTTGAGGGCAAGATAGTGATCATTGCGCCCGACAAATCGCGTCACAAGATCGAGTACATGTCCCAACTCGAGGAACTTATTGCCAAATTCCCACGGTGCCCATCTGATGGTGATGATCCAGTGAGTGTCGGTGACCCGGGCACGGCAACAGGTGCAAGTGATGACTCGTTACCCAAGACCCTACGGAGAACACGTAACACCCGCCGAAACTGAATGTTAGTATCTTGTGTTTATTTTACTGTGTCATATCGTGATGTGGTGGCTAAATGCATTAGTTTTCATCGCTGCCCGTACTAATTTATCTCATCACACATTAATATAACTGCATTTTTGTTTTCGTTTGCCGGTACATCAATAATTTGTTTTTGTTGTTTTGCTTATTTGCTTCATGTTGTCACTAATGTATCACAATTGTCATCTGTCATTAATGCCATTTATCTGTCATACGTCATGCTCCATTTCATGCTTTATGGTGGGTTTATGGTTCATCGATGCGTTTTATTATAACATATATCTATTTTTATCATTTATTTCTGTGGTACGCTTCTCATCATTCTCTTTTAATTTATTTTGCATTTTGTTTTGTCATACTTTGTCTACACATTTGGTACTCTAGCAAGTGGGGGAGGTTGCTTTTTATTGTAATTTACATATTAGTTAGCAGCCACCGCTCTTTATTTTTTTATTATAATATATATATATATTTTTTTTTTTGTAATATCTTTATATACAGTTATCTGTCTCATTATTATTTTTATGGATGATGTTATTGGTTTTAGTGATAGTTTTCTCACTTGCTCTCCGGCGTCCAGTCTTGCTAGTGCGGACAGTGATGCTTCCCAGTCACTCACCTTGCATGACAATTTATCCAATCGCTTTTCACTCTTCCCGAAAAACCTCAATATCGCTCATATTAACGCTCAGAGTGTTCCTGGACACTACTCCGACCTTCTGGCTACCTTTAGCAATGTGCATCTCGACGTCCTACTGATTTCCGAGTCATTTCTTAAACCTTCCCTCTTATCCACGCACTATGCCCTCCCTGGCTTTGTTTTGGTCCGCAATGACGGGACGGGCCGGGGTGGGGGCGGGGTTGCCATGTACATACGGTCTGATTTATCACACCGTGTGGTCAGCTCGTCCCCTTCTCTATATTCTGAGTCAGCAGAGTTTATGTTCGTCGAGATATCCATAAATCTTAACAAGATCTTAATAGCCGTCTTATATAGTCCCAACCTACACATTAACTATTTTGATAATCTCGACACACAACTCAATAACCTATGCCTTAATTATCAGCATGTTATTATCATGGGCGATTTTAACACTTGCCTTCTTAAACAGGATTCACGTGCACATAAACTCGAATCACTATTGTCATCTTTTAACCTACATCTACTTCCCCTTTCGGCTACTCACTATCCCCCCAACTCGTCTCCTTCCTTGCTCGATCTTGTGATTGTGTCGTCCCCTGGACATGTAGATGACCACGGTCAACTGACTGCTCCTTTCTCCTACCATGACCTTATTTATGTATCTTATCGCATTCGTAATCCTAAACCTAAACCTCGTTACTTGAATCTACGTAGTTACGGACGGCTGGATCTGGGGGCGTTACGGCACGATGTCTGCCTGACTGACTGGAGTTCTGTGGTTGATGCCGATGATGTCGATGTGAAGGTTAACCTGTTTAACGCGATAATTGTCGACCTGTTTGATAGACATGCACCTTTGCGCCGCGTGAGGGTTAGGCACGATCCTGCGCCTTGGATCACTTCTGACATTACAGAGGCAATGGCTCGTAGAGACAGGGCCAAGCGAAGGTGGAAACGTAGGTCTACAGATGAAAATCTTTCCTCTTATAAAAATCTTCGTAATCGCTGCAGTCGTCTGTGTAGGGATGCTAGGAGGCGTTACTTCGATGACAACTTGGCTAACCACAACGCCGCTGATGCCTGGAAGTTCTTGCGATCTGTGGGCATCGGCAAATCTCCTGTCAATGTCAGTAAGGATGTTGATCTTATCTCCTTGAATCATCACTTCTCCCACTCCCCTATTTCACTTGACAACCTTACAAAAACTAAAACTCTTCTCAACCTTTCCTCTCAACCGCTTCCCTCTTGTTCTCCTTTTGTGCTCTGTAGTGTGCCCGAGGATGATATAAAAAAATCCATGCTTGCCATTAACTCCTCTGCTGTGGGTAGTGATGGTTTATGCTCCCGTATGTTTATCCCCATTCTTGACCTCCTCCTTCCTATTCTCACGCACATTTTCAATTTTTCTTTATTCTCTTGCTCTTTTCCTTCTGCTTGGAAAACTGCCCACGTTATTCCGTTACCAAAAACTAATAACCCTTCTACCCTTTCACATTACAGACCTATTTCCATATTGCCTTTTCTCTCCAAGGTCATGGAACATATTGTTCATAAGCAGTTGACTTCCTTCTTGTCGTCAAACTGCCTCATCTCTCCCTTTCAATCCGGATTCCGCCCTGGCCACAGCACGGTCACAGCTTTACTCAAAGTGACCGATGACATTCGCTGGGCTATGGACAACAAATCTCTCACTGTTCTTGTGTTGTTGGACTTCAGTTCTGCCTTCAACTCCGTGGACTTTGACATTCTGCTGGGGGTCCTGAAGGCCAACAATTTCTCTTCTTCCTCTCTGGCCTGGTTTGAGTCCTATCTTCGGGGTCGCCGTCAGAGGGTCCGCCTTGAAGAAAATTTTTCTGATTGGTGTGACCTTGCTGCCGGGGTACCCCAGGGTGGCGTCCTTTCTCCTGTTCTTTTCTCCATCTTTATTAATACCGTTGCCAGGGTCATTTCATCTAATTTCCATCTATATGCGGACGATTTGCAGCTATACCGCCACTTTGGCCTGTCCGAGGCCCATTCTGCTATCGATGCCATGAATCGTGACTTGGATGGCGTTGCCGAGTGGGCTAGGTCTTTTGGATTGCAAATCAATCCTATCAAGTCTCAGGCCATGATCATCGGTAGCAGATATTATCGAAACGCTCTCGACGTCCCTAGCCTTGGTCCATTACGTTTGAATGGCACACGCATTCCATTCACTGATACTGCGAAAAACTTGGGGGTGCATATCGACTCGAACTTGTCGTGGGCTTTTCAGGTGAACGAGGTTAGTCGGAAAGTTCATTTCTCCATTCACTCGCTGAGGCGCCTCCAGACCTTGGTTCCGGTGAAGACTAAGATTCACCTCGTCCAGGCGCTGATCTTGCCTCTCATTGACTATGCAGATGCTTGCTATTTGGACGCCACAGAGGAGCTATTAAATAAACTTGAGCGCTTACAAAATGTATGTATCCGTTTCGTCTTTGGTCTTAGGAAGTTCGATCATATTTCTGAATTCCGTAACAGGCTCAAGTGGCTCCCAATCCGTCTTCGCAGGAACACTCGCATACTATGTCTCCTCTATAACATCCTCTTCAACCCAGCCTATCCTACTTATCTTCGAGACCGTTTCTCCTTGGTGCGCCCTCCTGAAGTCCTTACTCGTTCTCATCTTAAATCCTATCTTAAAATTGTGCCCCATAATACCGACTTCTACTCCTACTCCTTCTCCGTTCATGCAGTGAGACTATGGAACTCGCTCCCGCCGAACATTCGGGACGCCAAGTCTATCTCTATCTTTAAGAGACAAGTGAGAGAACATTATCTTTCCTCCTGAAATACAGATTTGTTTTTCTATATTTATTTATATATGTATTATTATTGTATTATATTAATTTGTTTTATTGTTAATTATTGTTAATTCTATTGGTTTCTTCGGTCTTATTACTTTTTTTATTAATTGATTTTTATCTTGTTTGTGTAACACACTATGTGTCTCTGTATTATTATTTCTTTTCCTGCCACAGGCCCACAGGAAGAAATTCCAGTTGGAATATGTGGGGCCTATGTACTCTGTTTTTTATTATGTATTGTCCTCTGTGTTGAATGTGTGTACATAAATTAATAAATAAATAAAAATAAATAAAAAAGGTTTTGATATATTTTTTTTGTTAAAGTTTTCTGTATATATGTATATACAGAAAACTTTTTGTCTTTATGGTACATAATTTAGTACTCTTTATACAGTGATAAGTATTGATTCGTAAAAGTCTGATATAAAACTCATATAAAGTCCATACACGTGTAAATAAAGTTTAATATTGTTACATTTTAATTATACTTTTTAAATTCTTCAACATATTGAATTTCCAAAATCATTTTGCAGTTGAATATTCCGAATTAACCGAGTCCAATGGCAACATTATTTGGTAATGGTATCCGTAAACTTGAATAAAATGACAACAGAACCTTTTATGGCAGCAGATGCATTAACCATAAATGACTGAATCCGCAAAACTTTTTTAATATACTAATTATTGCAGTTGCACTGCGAAAATCATTATCATCAAGCTTTCCTTGTGCTTTCGGCTGTATGCAAAAGCCGCGTTACTGAGTCGGCGCGAAATGACAATCTAGAGTGGGGGGCAGTAACCCTCATATCGTCAGACGAGGAGGTTGTGTCGCACCGCGTCGCAAATACATCGCGATCTCCGCAAACTATAAACAATTTGCCGACCATGTTATGATTGTGAAACTATTATTTATAAAATGAGTTTTATATGAATTGGAATGGGAATGAGTGTGTTTTTTCGAGTGTTATTGTAAACTATGTCGTGTAAAGTGCGAAGTGACGTTAATCAGTAGTAGTGTCAAGCATGACCGCGGGTCCAATTAAAAGAGATAATATCGGATGGAACAAGTTCAAATGTATAGTGCTTTTGTATCTAGTCTTCTGTTTTCCTTGTGTGATAAAAGGTAAGTCTATTAATGTCGCAGATAACTGTTCATTACCTATAAATACGCAGTTTTGCGAGAAAGTTTTTATTCATAATTTAATAATACAGTTTACGCAGAAAAAACATGTGATAGTGGCAAATTCTTGCAAACGTTTTTTACCACCCGTTTTTTTATTATTACTATCGCGTCATAAAAACAGCAATAAATTATTTATATCTTTTGACACTTAATGAAAGCTAATGTTTGTTATGTTATAAAAACATTTTAACACAGGTTTATAGATTTAGATTAGTAGATTTATATTTTAATTGTAAGAACGTTGACTAATTATTTTTAATTATTTAACGGTTGGCAAAAGTTTATTGACGTTATAATATTAATTTTCGGGTCATAAATAATAGAATGACATGGATATCAAATTATAAGAGACGCAAAAAATCAATCATACTGATTTTTTTAAAGAATTTGTAATCTGTGATTTATATTTTAATTTACGAAACGTGCCTATTAATATGTTTATTAAGTTCTTATTTTTTTCTAAGCTCAAAGTCGTGCTCCACGTATAAAGGAGCACCCAGCTGACACAATAGTCGGTAGGAGTGAGCCAGCCACTCTTCGCTGTGTGTCTGAAGGGAAACCCAAACCCTCAATCCAGTGGTACAAAGATGGGTCCCCTCTTGCTCCTACTGACCACCCCCATAGAGTACTCCTTGAAGATGGACTACTGTTCCTCAGGTAAGGTTCTTGATAATACTATTTTTTATTTATTTTCCTATAAGGTACTCTTTTTGTTCTTGCGGCGTATTTTGGAAAATATTACGAATTATTTTACGTGTGCCGACGGCGGACGGTTTTAATTTTCTGTTCTTGATTATCGGAAAAGTGGAAACGTTTATTGTTGTCTAACTATTTTCTTCTACTCAATTTATGTATTAGTTTTGGGTTCTTATTTAAATAAAATAAAACACGTTTGTTTTATCACAGAAGAAATAACAATAGTGTATCGTAGTGTTAATTTTCTTAAACTTTGTTTTTATTTTATTTATTTTTAAAACTGCACACAGGTGTGGTTCTTTTTCTGGGTTATAATTGTATGTTATAAAAAATAGCACCTGGTTGTGACAACTTCAATGTTGCATACGGACATATTGGACAAGTATTGCGACTGCGATAAGTATTGAGATCAAAATTATGGACCGTTTACCATAATTAGTCGTAGTAGTTGTCATACTTTTGTTATGTTGTAAAGACATTCATCGCATTTTTCATTATGAAGAAAATTACGAACATGATGCACAAGAACAGAGATGTATGAGCACACGCTGTATTGTTATATTATACACATTATCATTGACCATCGTCACGAACCATTTGATTGTCCTGTACTCTTAGTTCATACAAAAAAAACCGTACCTATTTTTATTGCAAGAATAAAATAGATCCGAATGTTATTCTATCTTTCGTAATTACAAACACATGGAAGACACGACATGTCTACATCTAAGACGACAAATTATTAAAATGAATAATGTAAGAATTACATATTCATAACGGAACTTATTGCTTAAGAGCAATATCACCAGATGTTAGATAGATAGACCACTAAGGTGGTGAAAATATTTCATTAGTACTTTGTTGGAAGCTAGGCATTTCAAAGATTTCAACAACGCGGCACCACCGACGTCACATGCATGATATTTAATTAAATTTAGGAAAGAATTAAATGTAAGACCAATGTTATGTAGGTACATGTTCTAATAATACTCTAATCATGCATAAAAGACAGAATTGTTAAAAAATAATAGGTACTACTAATCCTTCTAATAAAATATCCGGAGTTACTATTCAATACATTACCTACGGTATGAAACAGAATACTAAAATAACGTCATAATAATAATGGATAAAGAAAATACTTCAGACATAACGGCGCCGAACTTTCATTATACAACAAAGGGACAAAGGTTATTATTATCGAAGGAAGAATAACCATATACTAACTATAAGTACTCGTATATATAATATAATATAGGCAATATAATATTATACGAAGGTACGAAGTGGAATTAATATAACATACTTAGTATAATGGCGGTCGTACAAAAGCCGCCGGCTGTCGGCTCATAGAAACTTTTCATGGATATTGTATGTAGTATTCATACGTATAGTTTATTAAATATGGTTATTAGTCGGAAATATTGTTTAGTATACGAGTACCTTTCCATAAATCAAGAAATTGTAATTGTGCGTGTGGGTCAGGATGTTTTTGTGTGTAATACCAAAGTTAGGATTGTACTGGCAGTGTTGGGTTCGTTAAATTCGGTTCTAAATTTACATAAAATAACATAACATCACGTCTTTTATCCCCGAAGGGGAAGGCAGAGCTGCACATTATGCCACTGTACAATGTAACACCCACTTTTCACTATTTGTTATGAGTCCTATGTAATAGGGGGTGAGCCTATTGCCATATACCGGGCACAATTCCAGGCTCCGTGTACTACTGAGAATTTTAAATATCCCAGTTATACTTTGCCCGACCCGGGAATCGAACCCGAGACCCCTTGCCCAGCAGTCGCACTTGCGACCGCTCGGCCAACGAGGCAGTCTTATTTAAGGTTCTGAATTTATGCCCAATTAATGGCAAACCCAATTTACCCCGGCGTGGCCTGATCGAAGAGAAATCTTATACTTGTATGTATGTTGCAATTACTGACACTTGATCAATTTGATAATGACCTCCCATATAATGTCAAGCTCAAATTAGTACATCTGTATATTGTACCCATAAAATTTAAAAAATCTGTCATATAGTTGACACTACGTAAGTACAAGTCCACTATTCTTGAGTCAGGGTCCTTGACAACAAACACATTTTGTTTCTCTTTGTGGTTCACGTGTTCTTTCATAAAAACAGCCAGACTAATTTAGTTGGAGTTTTTATTGTTGTGTTAATTAGGGACAGAAAAAACTAAAGTACATGGTGTTTTATTATGCCTTGTCTTGACACCACATAAAAAGTGTACAACCAAACAAAGCTTGCGCATGAACTGAACCTGTTTAAAGGAGTTTTGTTTCGCTCTTGTTAATGTTATGGATATTTTTAAAACGATTAATTAGTATAGGTAACTTGTTATTTTGCTATGAGATATTTATAAGTTCATTTATCTGGAGACTATTAACAGGACTGCTTATTATTACAGTCCTTTTGACTTTTTTTAACGTTGGTGCAACGTTAGGATTAGGATTTTCTCCTGTGTCGTGGGTGTGTTTACAAACATACAAGTTCACATACACAATGACACCCAGAACCGAAACAACAATTTGTTGATCACACAAAGTGTTGTTCCGTGCGGAAATCGAACCGACACGTTGCACGGCAGCCGGTTGCCCAGCCACCGCACCAACCGTGCAGTTAAACTTATTTCACTTGGTATATGTATGTGAAAAATAAAATACAATTTTAATAATTCGAAATTCTCAAAAACACAGTCTCTATAACACTAACGTCCATTCATCATGTTCCAAAATCTGTTAACAAACCTACCCTTCATATGCTGTGAATACAAATTAGCCTGAGGCACTAAATGAGTCAAAATCGATACGGTCTAGACGCCGTAGGGAAATATCCACATAGGCACGTACGTTCCCAGACAGCCAAACTACTGAGGCAATATCAGACACGAAAATGTCAAAGACTTGTTGACATTTTTCTGTGTCTGTATATTTGAGTAGCATACAAACATCCGTGGGGCACTCTCCTATAATTTTCCGACCAAAAATCCTTTGATTCAAGTTAAACCTATAATTTGAAAGCACTTGTACTTTATCAAAACACTACCCGTACACTATGACCGATATTGAGTTGATCGTTAAATTGTAGGGTTATGCGAGGAAAGAAAGAAAACGACGAGGGGGTGTACTGGTGCGTCGCACGCAACTCAGTCGGCGAGGCGGTCAGTAAGAACGCCACACTCACAATCGCTGGTAAGTACTGATTCATTGCGTGTAAGTATGTTTAAATTGCCTATAAGTACTGCACTTGCATGTGGGGCTCGTATTATCCTTGAAAACATAGCAGGGCTTTTGTGTATATACGTCAATTGTTACGGTGATTACGTAACTCATTGGTGTTTAAATTAATAATAGGCGCATGTTTCGCGCATAGAGTAAGCGGCCTTTTCTATTTATAAACCAATATCTAATTCTGTGAGACTCATTATTGTTCTTATGCCGATAATAATAACTGAAGAGTCGACTGTCAAGATAAGCATAGGCTTATCATCTATACCTGTGTTTAAGAAATTTCCCTGCATCTATGGATCTGAAGTTGATCCAAATAACGTTTACCTAAATTAACGTGTATAAGTAAGAGTATCAAACTTCGAAAGAAAGTGTTCAATTAACAAATATTACGTATGTATATCGCTCTAAAAACGAAATCAAGAAATCGTTCATTCTAATTTAATTTGATACTTGCTGCAGAATATTTACACTTTCAATCAATATTACTCAAGTTAAAGTCTAAAAATAAATCGAAATCCTACCCTTTTCGCTCAATGAATTCGATCTCGACAAATATATTTACCTGATTCCAGTGTTTGCAAATGTAACTAGAGACGGTTATGCCGCTGTGCGGTAAACCACTAAAAGGTCGGGTGAAATCTTTATTTGCTCGCAATCTTCGCGAGGTTTTATGGAGTAATTGTATACTTTAGAATGCCTACCACATTACTGACAATTGATAAGTCGTACAGATTGTTCTGTTTTCCATTAATAGAGATCTAGATATCAGTTTGCAGAACCATAAACATTATGTTTGCATTTATCATGTCCTTTATAAATATTATTTAAATTATTGGTCAGAGCTTGTCTTCGTTTTATTTAATGAAAGTTTTATTTTAGTTCTACGTGACGACTTCAGAGTTGAACCGCGAGATGTGAAAGTAGCCAGTGGAGAACCAGCCACGCTAGAATGCTCCGCTCCTAAAGGCGTTCCCGACCCGGGCGTGCACTGGACGAAGGACGGACAAAGTTTAGATGTAGAAGTTAACGGGAGGTAATTAATTCTGCTCTTCGAACTTTGTCCACTATTTCTGTACCACATTGTTCACTTTGCATAAATATTGCCTTGTTGAATACAGTCAATATTTTAATGTTGAAAGTAACCAAACAATGTTATTTATTGGACATGTGGGTATTTATTTGTTTAACGATCTGCCTGAGGCATCTGTTTCGTTTTGAATTTAAGTTACAATGATTCACGATTCTTGTTAAAGCTGGTTAATTTCGTTTTCATTAGCTTTGTTAAGCCAATTATTTTCTACGGTATTTTCCATATATCTTATAATGAACTTTTGTTTCAGAATTATGATAGTAAATGGCGGTGATCTCAAAATATTAGAAAGTCTTCCAGGAGACAGTGGTGTGTATAGATGTGTAGCTTCAAATGTTGCTGGAGAAAGACAATCCCGTCCTGCAACATTACTCGTGTTACGTAGACCACATTTTCTCGTGAAACCTAATAACATAACGGCATTGATAGGCCAGAACGTTGAGTTTCATTGTCAGGTAATAAAATGGAAAATTATGCTGCTGTTCATTGAGCATTTAAACTGCAATATTGTTGTTTACTGTTAATATTCTTCTTCAAGTTTTTTTTAATATTTGCTATAATTTTAGGCATCACCAGAATCAGACGTGTCAGTGACGTGGTCGCGAGACAATGGCTCATTATCGCCATACGCAATCATTCGTCGAGGATCTCTGAGAATAGATCGTGTTGTTGCTACTGATGCCGGAATTTATACATGTAGAGCTGAAAGCCAAGCAGGGAGTAGTGCCGCATCGGCTACATTGACTGTTCATTGTAAGAGCACTACTTATTAATTTGAGACCTGTTTTGTTGAAATGAAAGTTTAAACTTGAATGATAACGTTTGGTTAATTTTTTGTTGTAGCATTACCTCATTTCACCCGAGTGCCTTCTGATCAAACTGCGTGGGAAGGAGAGGCTATATCTTTTCAGTGTGAAGCTGATGGTACACCGCCTCCTGTAGTATTCTGGACTATGGAGGGATCTCAGGTAAAATTTAAAGTAGTTTTCTTACCAACAGAAATTCCTTTATCCAAGCAAAAATGTTATAGTATCATGTGTTTTACAGGAATTAGTATTCCCGAAATCAGCCCACGGTACTGGGTCCTTGTATTTAGATAGAGTAACTACCCAACATGCTGGTAGATTAACGTGTGTCGCTGTTAGTGCAGCTGGAAGTGCGATGCATACTGCAACATTGCAAGTAAGATTTACCTTTATCTTTATTATACCTTTTTCTTTAAATCCAGCCTTAGCTTCATCTGGTCCAAAATTGTTGGTAATGACATATTCTATGGTATTTTTTTAGGTACTAAGAAGAGAAGCTAATTCATTTAATGGAGATTTAGAGTCTTCTTCTCCATATCCCGAGTTGACGAAGCATCAGAGTCATCCACCAATGACACAGTATGAATTAGTTCAAGCTCGTCGGTATTTACAGCAAGATGTTTTAGCTTTAAGGAGAGTTGAAGGTCTATCTGCTACTACAGTCAAAATCGTTTGGGATGTTAGTATTATCGCAAAAAATATTTTGTGATATGAATATACTAGTATATGTGTGGCATTAAATATTTTATTTTATTTCATTGTAGGTGTTGACAGATTACAACGAATATTTAGAAGGAGTAAAAATATGGTTCAACGGTACCTCAATGAATAGACAATACGTGTTAGAAGAAGACTACCAGCATTCCAATTTATCATACAAAGAGAGTCTAGCTGATTTTAGAAGATATGAAAACTTTTCAATGACCACTGTCCACAACAGTGGTTCATCTAGTCATATTTTAACTGGTCTATTGCCATATGCTCAATACGATGTCTTTTTAATGCCATTTTATAAGCTGTTGTTGGGTAAACCGTCTAATTTAAAAAGTGGTTTTACTGAAGAAGATGGTAAGTGATCTTCTGACTTTCAAATGTTGACTGTTGCGTGTAATTAAGGCATCAAGGTATAGGTATAGCGTGTTATGAATGTGTTGTAGTTCCGACGGAGCCACCGCAAAGCGTCACGGCGGGAGTGATAAATGCGACGTCAGCGTGGATTCGGTGGGATCCACCGCCCCCGCATACATGGAACGGCGAACTTTCCGGTTATTTGGTCAGTTAAAAACAAGGATATAACTTTCTATTGACATTTTGCTTCTCTATTTTGCTGTTCTTTTGTTTAAAATATAACTTTTTCTGGTGAATCGAAATTCTCTACAGTAGATATAACTATAGTTACAAAGGCGTTAAACATTTTTGATCACATTGTCATTAAATTATTGACATTATCTAATTATCATTTTGTTTTAGATTGAAGTTCGAGTAGGCGGTAGCACTGGTGGTCGTGTAGTTGGTCAGATGTCATTAGGTGCTCGCACGCGAGCTGCTGCAGCAAGTTCACTGCGCGCTGGTGGTCGGTACAGTGCGCGCGCGGCGGCAGTTACACGCCGTGGACACGGTCCATTTAGCGCGCCTGCTCAAATACACATGCTGCCTACTCAAACACAGAGACATTATGTACAGTAAGTAGTCTTATGATATCGAGTTTTATAAAAAAATGTCTGTAATTTCAAAGCACTCGGCACCTGTGTTAATACAATTTCATTTTTTAAATAGGAACATGTACGCCACACGTGGGCTATCTCTGTATTGCTTTGTTATAAGATATTACAAGGAATATCTTTTACCGACAAAGCTGTTCGCAGCCGAGCAAGCTCAACTTAGCGGTATGAAAATAAACATTTTGTTTCAGAACTGAACCATCGACGGACAAGGCGATAGTGTCAATGTTCCAGGAAACTTGGCTGCTGGCATTATGTCTAACTTTGTTAGTGTTAGTACTAGTCGGCACTGGAGTCATTGTTTATATACGGAGAAAGCAGACTAAGCAAAGGAAAAGCCAGAACACAACTGGTAAGATGAGTAATACAAATTTATTCTTGATGAAGTGAAGTGAGAAATGAATGAGTTAATCTAGGTGGTACTCAAAATAAAGGTGTTTCAGGAACTGCTATAGTTAATGCTCAACAATGTCTACTAGGTAAGGAAGCTGTTTGGTTAAGAGAAAGGCCAATGTTTGAAGGATCAAATGAACCTAGGATAGAAATTTTGAATTGCCACCAAAGTCTTTTACACGGTAAGAATACAAATCATTTTAAGCTTAATCTGTGTTATATGAATATGAATTGTGGTAATTTGTCTTTGGTTCTTGTAGGTGGTCACTCAATAGGCACAATGGCTATGGAAGCTGAGTACAGTCTTCCACAGCATACAAATGTTATGAATCCTATACCAGAGGAAAGTCAAATGCGGAGACACCAGCCCGAACCTTATGCATCAAGTGCCATTTATACTGAGTTAAATTATCAGGTACCAATAAATTTCTTTAACCTTGTATTCTCATAACTATAGGTGTTAAGACTCAGTGTTACAATAATCGTTGTTTCAATTTGTAGGATCATACAGATGCAGAAGACTCGTGTATGAAGTGCGCTGTGAGTCCAGGTTCGTACGACAATAGCATGGTCAGATCTTATGGAGAAAGCAATCAGTACTCTAATGAAGAATGCTCTACATGCTGTCGAAGTAGCAGTTCCACTCTCACAAAGGACTACAGTGAAATGACAAAATGTGGGAATGACGATGAAATGCAAGACATGTCTATAGAAGACTGTCCATCGTGTAAAACAAACCATTCTAGATCCTCGAGTCATCACGATGGGAACAAAGATTGGGCCATGGCCGAGGTAGAATATGATTACCCACAGTGGCATTGGTTGGGAAGAGAAAATACTTTTAGACAACCTAACCCAGAAGTGAGGTATGCTACTGAAGGGAGGAGTGACCAGGATTGCAGGATGAACTTATGTGATATTCTTCCACCACCGCCTTATGAACGGTAAGAACTTAACAAACACAATCTTTTTATGTTTGCAATGACTGTACTATTAATGCTTTCAACTGTTTCCAGGGAATCGCCATATCGAGAAATGCACGCATTTACAAATCACTCAGGGACATCAGGTTGTTCAGGTCATACTTATAGAAGTTAATCGAATTGTAAATTAATAGCACTAGGATGTAATACAAGCAATATTACTTTATAGTGTGAATTGTACAAATGTATAAAGGTCTTTGCATTATTATGATCATTAAGGTAAAGTGGGATACCTGTTACACTGTCGCGTAATATAAAAGGTGTAAAGAATTAATGTGCCACGTAAAATATGGTTTCTGAGAGTGAATGACTAGAAAACGCGTCGTGTTTATGAAGCATTCGTTTTTATGAAACCAATATATTTAATAGCGCATAAATTTTTAACAAATATTCGAGAAAACAGCTTCTTCCTTTTCAAAAGTCCAGGAACGCGCAGGTAATCCATCTGCTCGTTTGCCTCCTATTCCATAAAAAAGGGTTACAAGTTTACCAGTTTGAGTACTTCATAAATTACTTCAGAAACCAGATTTTAAATAAATATTACATAAAACATTGTGATTGACAATTCAGATTTATTTTACACGTAATCAACCTGTCCTATGTGATGTGGGCGTGTACTGTGTGTAGTTACGCGACGGTGTAATAGAAGGCTTTCGAAGATTGTAGTTCTTGTGGATGTGTTTACAAATAGACTGCTATATAACGTAAAGTAGGCATTAGGATTTCATCTTTCTCTAGTGACTGTGATATAGTATAATTTCGTATTCAAATTTAGGTTTTATGTAAATATTTTAAAATGTTTGATATCCTTATACAATTTTATCATTGACGTATTTATTGAGTGTAGCAAGTTAGGACTAAACAATTTTTTAAACTGTATATTTTAAACAATCACAGTTGTATATCATTTTGTACTGGGACAGGATTACTAATCTGTTTTGGGACATAATTGTACTTTGTAAAACCAGCTTAATTAAAACTGGAAGAATTTTTATCTGTTTGTTTTACTTGTACTTTCCCAGACAATTTATTGGTGAATGCGTCATTAAATTGCTGATAAGTTGACCTCTTGATGTTAACGAGGGTTTCTCGTCCTTTGAGACGATTATTTGCTTGAATTAATATCATAAATTCAGATTTCATTGCAATCAATTGTAATGATTAATTAATTTTTAATTTAGTTACTTAACAAAAAAACTTGCAGTTTTGTCACTCTTATCATTTTAAAATTAATAAAAATATAATAACATTACGTCTCTTATCCTAGAAGGGGTAGGCAGAGGTACAAATTACGACACTTAATGCCTCTTTATATAACAACCACTTTTCACTATTTACATTACGAGTTCCATGTAATAGGGGTTGAGCCTATTGCCATATATCGGGCACCATTCCAGACTCTGTGCTACTACTGCGATTTTTTTAAAACACTTAGTAACATTTGCCCGACCTAAAAATCTAACTCGAGACCACTTGTCCGGCACTTACAACCGCTTTACTACGAGGCAGTCATCATATTATAAAAATTTAATATTTAATTTTTAGTTACTAAGACCTTTAACCATACAATCCAGATCAGCAATATAGCTTTTTAAATAATATAAAGGTCTATTCGAAGTCAACACCCAACAGACGTATACTGTAATAAGTTTTATCGTTTCCTTACGACTGCGCCAAATTCTCAAAGCACAAGGATGTAAACGCACAATTAAAAATGCTTTACAATGCAATAAAGTCGAGAATTGCTTGTAAATCGTCGCAAATGAATTGTAGCATTCCACCTACAAAGTTTAATTAATTGGTACCTGTAAATTTGCTACCGTTGAACGTGGTTTGTTTATGGAACATTATGTCTTCAGAATGGCAGTAGAATAATGCATAGATACTTGTTATTATAGAACGAAGATATTTATATATTCTTAAAATAATTAAAAATAAAATTGCAACAGCTTTTGGTGTTACCTTATAATAGGGTAGTTGCCAGGGTATCAAAATTATAAATCTAATTAGTCTGTCAGTTAGATAATTAAATATTAGACACGTATTTTTTATTTTCTCGTATTAAGTTGCAATACTTAGATAAAATGGCGCTAAGTTTAGGAGTGGGATGTCGTTATGCCGAAAGTATTTAATTTGTGACAAAAATAAAATAGTTGTCTAAAGTTTTAAATGAATGTACCAGACGGACATTTTAATAAAATTTGTGGAAACTAACCTATTCATGTGGGCAATTTGTAAGCACAAAAAAAAACAAAATTCAAGGACTATCTTAAACATAATTGTCTTTAATCCTACATTTGAATTTCAAATCTAATTTGTTGCCACTAAAACTTAAATTAACATGGTACCATAAGCTTTTGGCTACAAGGCTATTAGAAACATTTTACTATGAGTTTACCCCGTACTAATTAACTGGGGGACATAATTATTATAACCCCAACTTTAACAATAAGGTTTTGATTGCAGTGACTATGCAAGTTTGACCCCAATATGAACGAAGCAGTTTCATAAAATTCAATAATTTAATTAGAAACGAAATATCAATATGGTTATTAAAATTAGGATCGATACCTTGTACTTATTGTTTACTTTTGTTTGAATAAAAAGTAATAAAAGGTTAATTTTATGAGCAGTGCAAGTCTTAACTTTTGTTTCCTAATATGTGTAACATACATATAAAAATAAAATATAAATTTAATTATGTTAACACTCTATAAAGCACACCTCTCCTCTAAATAGAAAAAGACAAATTGGCAAAACTAAACCTAACCTATGTATGTATTCAATACCTTTAGTATTCAACCCTGATATTCAACTTATTTAATTAACTGATACCAAGTTACAAAACACTAACAAAATCCAGTACAAAAGAGAATCATTAGCATCTACTTAGCAATCTTATTACCCTTCCCGTCCCATCCTTTGAGATATCATTACAAGCATGTGAAAAGTGGCTGCACAATTACACAAGTAATCAGCTTTACTCGTAAATAACTAAGCACGTATTTGTGCGTGGCGGCATCGCAGGCTGTGTCCAAACGGAGGGCGTTGCCATGACAACAGGTTTCATACTCACCCTAGAGTGCACCCTTGTTATTAATACCCGTAATAATTAAACTTGATTGCATTTCACACCAGGTGTTGGATGACTCGCAAACTAATAACTGTTTGAACAGGCTGAAGGTATAATTTTGTTTGAAAGATTAAGACATTTGTTTGGGAAGAACAATAAAATTAATGATGGCTTTGAAACTCTATGTTATTTTTTTTATTTGAGGTTCAATTTTAGCTCGAGTCCTAGAAAATAAAATCGGTATCCTTATTATTGGAAAGACCGAGGCAAAAGTGAACCCATTTCCATAATTGAATTGTCAAATTCAATCAGCATAAGAACTTGCATTCACTTCCCGGTCACAATCAAAAATAATATACCAAATTTTCATATTCACTTTGAATAAAAATCAGGATTCAGTTCATACAGACAGGAACGTGACTTCTCACAATCACATCTCGAACGCGACTCACACAATTTTTATTTTCTTTATTAATCAGCACTCCCCGACGGAGCAATTTTGTGAGTTAAGAGCTCTCTGTATCCCGAAGTCGAGAGTCAGGGTGACAGAGAAAAATTGAAAGGGATACGCGTGGTGCTGGAGTGACAAGGAGAAAACAAATGAATGTGCGGCATCTGACGTAAATGATATTGAGGAAGGCGGCCATGATTGCAGTCATTACTTACGCACAAACGCTTATGCAAATAGGTAATAAAAAGTTTGGTCGTGAAATTGGAGAATTTGTAGAGTATTCAGTGGCTTATAATAAATTTCTCCTAACGTGAATATGATTTACACGATATATTTTACTGTGCGATGGCGTAATGGCAAATTTAGTTCACAATATAAATATAGTTAAATAGACTTTCGACTTTCATTTATACAGAAAAATAATTTAAATGCAAATTAACGTCATAGTCAACATTTCACCAGCTTTAAATCCTCTGGCCGAGATCCTCCACCCACTTAAATTCCCACAGAAAACCTTTTAAACCTGTATCTATCAAATGCAAAATAGCAAAAAGCGTCGTATAAACTGGGCAATGAACTCGGACTTAAAGCTAGATAGACGTTTTAGTTCTAGAAAATACAATGCAGCAAAAATTAATAGACTCAGATAAAAGGCTGTCTGAAGGTATTTAACATTTTATCCTAAAGATATAAGATAATTCGATACCAAAGAGTATTAAGTCAATGGAACGCCAACTCTCATCTTTGCTTACTTTCTAAGTTTTTTTTGTTATAGAAAACGTTGTCCCACATTAGGATTTTCTCCTGTGTGTGGGTGCGTTTATAAACATCAAGTTCACATACACAATGATACCCAGATCCGAAACAACCATTTTTGGATCACACGAAGTGATGTTCCGTGCGGAAATCGAATCCGCGGCATGTCGCACGGCAGCCGGTTGCCCAGCCACCGCACCAACCGTGCAGTCAATAAGTGTAGGTGAAACCACACAATTTGATTAAATATTGTAAGTATGTAAACGAAATGTCTATCCGAACTTTTCCAATAGGTAACTAAAGTTAAATTAAAAACTTATATTAATCATGTCGATTTTCGATGAGCAATGAAATGAAATGATGAACTGATATTTACCTCTATATCTGCAAATAGGTTACAAAGGCATTTCCTAACTGACTACTCTGAGAAGAAATTCCAAAACAAACTCAGTGCAGACTGATTATTATAATTATAATGTGCGAGGACCTTGCAAGTTGATTCTTTAGTGGTCTTTTTAGGAAAGATCCACAACACCACCGCCCAAGTCACCTAAGTCATACATGTGGAATGCAATAAAGAATTGAGTACTGAGTACAGTTTGAGCAAAGCAAAATATGTACTCAAGTTTAAACGTCAATAAATTATATATTTTTTTCTGTTGAACACTCCATTTACTTATTCATTCGTGATTAGAATACAGCTGTCTGTCGTAATTTGGTTTACAATTTTCCTGTCAAATATCTTGAGTATTATTGAAAATTTGATTTGATGAGACATTGAATTTGCATAGCAATTATACCTCTTTGTACTTCAAGCCAAAAAAGCTACGAATTT